AGAAACCAAACTGAGATCAAAAGGTTATTTGATGAGAATCAGTAAGGAATTCACATGCGGCCTAATTTGGGCCCAGTCAGCCAAAGATGACCATTTATCTTCATGGACTACCCTTTTTCTGCGTATCATATCATCATTTTCCTCACTGAATACTCTAAAGAGTAACATTCACTAATCTTTTACGCCAGTCTTAGTCCTTTATTACTTCAATTGATAAGAGTGAGTCTTCAAGCACCAGTTCTTACTCAGTGTTTCAAAAGGTTAAGTTTTTTGTGCTCATCAACACATCAGACCTTTTATGCAGGAGATGTGTAGAAAAGAGGATGTTCAATTGAAAATGAAAAATCTACTTAATATATAACTTAAGTAGCCATATTTCAAAAAAGGAAGACCTACTTATTTGAAGAAAAGAATATTTACACAATAAATGCTTATTAATAAAGTACCTTGATATATATCTGAAATCACAACAGAAAGGCATGTCTAGAAAAACAGTAGCAATTAAAATTATTTCTCTTAAGTAACGTCCATAACCATTTTCACATGTGACTGTGGGAAGGTCTATTGTTCTCATACTGGCATTTTTCAGCCACATGCATATTCTCAAGTAGCATTATCTATAAATGCGAAATACTTTTAAGGGAAAGCAGGTAAGTGGGGCAGTGGATAGAGTGCCTGGTCTGGAGTCAGGAAGACCCATCTTCTTGAGTTCAACTCTGGCTTCAAACACTTAAGTGCTCTGTGACCCTAGGCAAATCACTTAACCTTGTTTGCCTCGGTTTCCTCATCTGTAAAAATGAGCTGGAGCCTTAAGGAAATGGCAAACCACTCCAGTATCTTTGCTAAGAAAACCACAAATGAGGTCATGAAGAATCAGACATGACTGAACAAACTTGGGAGGAAAGCAAGTTTCCCCTCCCCCAAATCAAGATAACTCAGTCATCTTTATTCTAAAAATTCTAATTATCCACAATCTATGTAAACCACAGCTTGAAGATAAACACATAATTCAATTTACCAAGCATTTATTAGATGCTTACTGTGTGCCAAATGTGTGTGTGGGGGGAACAAACCCTGCCCTCAGGAGCTTATATGAGTGAGGTGGTGAAGTAGGAGCACAATATCTATTTAGAAAGAGTAATATGAAATACATACAAAGTAATGGGGAAGGGAGGGTAGAACCAGCAACTGAGGAGAATCAGAATAGGTTTTCTGTAGGGGGTGGCAGTTGAGCTGAGTTACAGCTTCTGAGGCAGAGGAGTGACCTCAAGTGTTATAGAACAGCAGTAAGCCAGTTTGACTGGAATTTGAGAGGGTGTGGAGAATAATGTTTAAAAAGCCTAGAATAGTAGACTAGAGCCCAAGTGTAAAAGGTTTTAAAAGCCAAATCAAGGAGTCTGTCTTTTTTCTTAGAAGCAAGTGGGAACTACTGAAGTTTCATAAGCAGGGAATGACAAACTTAGACCTGTGCTTTAGGAATACCAGCTTGACAGCTGTGTGGAGGAGGGATCTGAGAGGACACAGACTGTAGGCAGAAAAACCAATTAGGAGGATATTCCAATAGTCCAAGGCAGTGGTGATGAAGACATGAACGAGGGCGACAGCCATATGAGTGACATGAACTGATGTAAGTGACATTGAGGAGGACAAAATGACAAGATGATTTCTAGATCTAACCTGGTAAATGGAAGGATAGCTGCACTCTAAGAAGGCAGGAATTTAGCGGGGTAGAGAATGAATCTACTTTAGACCTGATGAGTATGACTCATGAAATATGCAGTTGAAGAGGTTCAATATGCAGTTTGTGAATACAGTCCAGAAAATGGATCTAAATATAGATCTGGGAATTTTTATAGAGGTGATCACTGAACTCATTCCAGATGATGAGATTACAGAGCAAGAGTTAATCACCTTGGAGCTGCCAACTTGCTTATTATTTTGATAAATGTATTTCAATTCAAATTGGTTTCCTCTGTAATCCTACACATTTTATTTTATTCATTTAAAATACTAATACTGAGAAGAGGTCCACAGGCTTTACCAGACTGCCAAAAGGTCTGTGATACAAAAAAAGATTAAGAACATCTATTTCAGAGACATAAGAGGTCTGAGGAGAAGGCACAGAAAAGTAGATACTGATCCTTCAAAAGAAACTAAGAAACAACTGCAGTAGAACTAGAACAAAGCACTGTGATCAGGAAAAAAAATTAGAAAATGAACATAAGCAAAACTCGATAGCATCCTCAGTTTAGTGCAGGCATATGTTTCTGTATTGCACTTTGCAGATATGGCTCACATTGTGTCTCTGTGTCACATTTTGGAAATTCTCACAATAGTTCAAATGTTTTCATTATTATATCTGTTATAGGGCATCTAAGATCAGTGATCTTTGATGTTACTATTGTAATTGTTTGGGGCACCACAAACCACACCCATATAAGACACAATATTGAAATCAGACCAATTTATAATCCTTCAATGGCTTCTAAGTGTTCAGGTGAAAGGAAGGATGCAGCAAACTTCACTGCTGTCTTATTTTAAGAAATTGCCACAGCCACCCCAACCTTCAGCAACCACCACCCTGATCAGTCAGCAGCCATCAACATCAAGGCAAGACCCTCCACCAGCAAAAAGACTATAGCTTGCTGATTTGGACAATAACATATTTCTTAAGATAAGTAGATTTTTTAGACATGATACTGTTATTGTGGATTATTAAGTGACCTAATTTCAATATTGTTATGTCTCAGGGAATAAGGAAGCCTAAGAGAGGAAGAGAGGAATGGCTGGTAGGCAAAGCAGTCAGAACACACAAAACATTTATTAAGTTTGCCATCTGATGTGGATGCAGTTTGTTGCACCCCAAAACAATTAGAATAGTAACATCAAAGATCACTGACCACAGATCACCATAACAGCTAAAATTACAATGAAAATTTTGAAATATTACCAGAATTACCAAGATGTGACACAGAGACATGATGTGAGCACTTGCAATTGGAAAAATGGTGCCAATAGATTTGTTTGAGACAGGGTTGCCACAAAAAAAAAAAAACACAGTACATGCAATGCCCAACAAAGATGAGTGCAGCAATACAAGGAGGTCCGTCGGTAACATTTTTAGTTCCTATTTTAAATTAAGCTTTTTAGCCATGAATTTTACTCTATGTGACCAATTACTACATAAACTTTAAATTTATGCTCCATTTATAAGAGATCACTAGACACCAGTGTTACACAATCTATTTCTAATCTTCCTTATCATTCAGGAACTTTTCTAGGAGACCAAAGTCACTTTGTTAATATTAGGTCTCAGTATCAAGGTGTCAAAAGAGCCTAAAGTTGTGTTAATACTTAACCAAGAACAAAATTTAGTCTGGCTTCTGAAGAAAAACATCAGCACAAAAATCAGTATTATGACCAGACCTAAGCTGGATTTTCTAACCTTCATACTCAAAGCACTTTACGATGCAGTTTAACATGAACTACATTTTAAATCATCTTTGCAAAACATTAAGATTTGTTTGGAATCCTATTTTGGGTTCAAACTGAAGTTAACAGTTTGGTTTTTAATGCACAACTCCTCTTACTAATATTTATTACAGGAAAATAAAGGTCATCCACATTACAATCCTACCAAAAACACTTTTTTATTACCTACCTGTAAAAGAAATGAGGAAACAAATCACTTCACCTTCAAATAAGACAAGGGTTAAAAACAAACAAACAACTAGATACAACCAATGTGTTAATTTTTTTGGCTTGATTGTACTAATTTGTCAAAAAGACAGGTTCTAATTAGGGAATTCGAGAAGGGGAAATCACTTAGAAACGACATGTGTTTTAAAATTTTAAAAGCATCAATGCCACACTTTAAATAAATAATCCAAATTAGAATATGGTTGAGTGAACACTCCTGCCATCCCAAACTAGATATCACTAGAGAACCTGGGTCTGCCACTTTATGGCTTGTGTAACTGGGCAAGTTCTCAAAGGGCCTCAGTTTCTTCATTTCTAAATCAATCAATTTACACTCATCTAGTTAATTAGGCACCTATTATATGCCCGATGGCTCGCCAAGGTGCTGGGGCTACAAAGACAATACAGACACTGCCCTCTAGGAGCTTGCTTTTTATAAGTCAACCTACAAAGTATATGCTACAAAATAAGTACAAGGAATTGGGAGGGGGGGCGGTTAGAGGGAATCGAAAAAGTAGAAGGGTTAGGGAAGAGGGGATTCTAGGGGGGGGTAGCACTAGTGGCTTGGGGGAACAGAGAAAGTAGAAGAGCCAGAGCACATCCCCCGAAGGGTACAAGGGATTCTGAGGTGGGGGAGGTGCACTAGTAGCTGGGGGGAATCAGTAAAGTGGAAGAGCTGGAGGAGATGTGAACGGAACAGAGGGCTCTAACAAGCAGAGGGCATTACAGACTTCGGTGACAGCCGCTGCAGAAAATGAGAGCGCCGGAACAGCTGACCGACCGCTAGGGTCCCCTCCAAGCTCTAAAGCCAGGGCTGTCCAGGTGAGGTCCAGTCCCGCGGCTGGCCTCAGTAACCTCAAATTCGCGGGGTCCGAGACTCCTCCAGCCCCCAGACCAACTCAGGAGGAGGAGGCTGAGGAATTGCGAGAATCGCCAGCCCCCTCCTACCCCCCGCCAGGATCCCTCCCCAGGGGTCTGCAGCATCGTAGCCTTTGCCTGGAGGCTATGCAATGCCAAGCCTCTTTGCCCGTCGAAATATATTTGCGCTCTGCCCCCCCTCCCCGATTAGACCGGGAGCTCCTCGAGGGCAGAGACCACGTTTTCGCTTTTCTCTGCATCTACCCCCGCGCTGAGCGCGGTGCCCGGCACGCAGAAGGCGCTTTATTGTTGCCGAGTCAAAACAAACGTGCCCAAAGTACCCGAGCCGCTCGCGGGAAGGCGGCGGCACTAACCCGGGGTAAGAGCGGCTGGAAACCCAGGCCACCCCCGGCCCCCACCCCCGGGCCGTGCGTCGCACTCACCGCACAGCATGAAGAGCAGCACGCAGAGCAGCGTGGCCACGATCACCAGCAGGGTCAGCCCCACGCTCTGCCACATTTTGGAGTGAGGGGGCGAAGTGGAGGCTGGGAAACACGCACAGCTGGAGGTGGGGTGGAGGAAGAGGCGGCAGGAGGACGACCACCAGCCCCGAGTCTCGTCGCCTTTCTCAGGGGCTCCTGCTCCTCGGCTCGGAGCCGCGGGATGGCATGAGGACCAGCAGCTCCCTCAGTAGCGCCCCCTATGGGGCGGGGCAGCGACTGCGCCGAGGCAGGGCTGAAGGCGGAGGGGGAGGCCGAGAATGACCGAGGCTGGAGGCTGGGGTGGGAGGGGGTCCGCGGCCGAGGAGCAAGGGTGGAGGAGCAGGGCAGGAGGGCTACCGGAGGTAGGTGTAGCGCCCCCTACCCCCTCATCGCTTTGGCGAGTCCCGGACCCCGCGCCGCAGGGGGTCACCTCCCTGACGCGCCTCCATGTGGGGTTAGGCACTGCGGGTGGCGGTCGACGCGCCCGGGATGAGAGATGGAAAGGGACCCAAAGCAAAGGAAGCGACAGCGGCCGTTACCCGCCGCCGCGCAGCTGCTCAAGCAGCTCCTGATCCTCCGGGGGCTGCCGTAGCTTTCCAGCTCCGCTCCCCCTCGCGGCGGCTCGGGACAGCGTCAGAGCGCTTCCCTCACCCCCTTCCACGCCGTACGGGCAGCTGGGTGATGCAGTTCGCTGTTGGTGGAGAGAGGGTGGCCGGGACTTGCGGGAGACTACAACTCCCATAGGTCACCACGGGTTCATAGCTTATCTTCCTCCGCCCCGCCCCCCCAGCTGCGTCTCGGTGTCCTACGTCTATCGTTCGCTCTCTGCCGTAGACTCCCAGTGTTTTCTGAAGGCTAGAGCTGTACCTTGTCTAGTGCCCTACTTGTCCAGACCTAGACTTAACCCTTTGAGTATGAGTAATACACCCAATGCTGAACACGTTGCTTCGTGAGTGGAAGAAAAACGACCTGCACCTGTCCCCAAGTTACTGCCGGGGGCGGAAGTTAAGTTCTTAGCTGAGAAGAGGATTTGCACCCACGTCCCTGCCAACTGGAAAGTTTGTTAATAGCAGAGAATGTCCCCTCCTTGCCTGGGAACAGGTGGAATGTGGTTTGTTATTCACTGTTGGTGTATTTCGGTAGTCGGTGCCCGTGGGTGAATTGAGGACAGGAGGTATTTGTTTTGTGTCCTAAATTCACCTCCTATGAGCTGTCCCATGTCCTGCCGGCGGCTCAGCGCTTTTCTGGGACACCGACCAGAATTAAAGCAAAAACAAACAAACAAATAAATAAGAATCTCGAGTTGGGCAACAACCTCTAAGACCATCTAATCCAAACTGTCCCTGAATAGTAAGAATCCCCTCTATGACAAGGGGTCATTCAACTTGCAGTTGAAGACCATTAGTAAGTTCACTGCCTCCCCAGGCAGCCTGTTCCACTTTTGGATAGTTCAGATTGCTAAAGTTTGGGGTTTTTTCCTTCTTCTTCTTCTTCTAGATAACAAATCTAAATTGACACCTGCAACTTCCACTCACTGATAGTTTTACGTTCTAGGGTCAAGCAGAACAAATTTCTTTTTTGTGACAACTTTTTAAATTTGAAGAGGGCTCCTCCACCCCTTTACTCCCACTTCTGTTGGAAGTACATTAAAGAAGTGCTATGTGATGTCTGGCAAAGGATCAGGAAAAAGGAAAAGCCATTTGGTATTTGACCTTTCTCTTAGGATGGTTAGGATTTTGAGAGAGAGAGAGAGAGAGAGAGAGAGAGAGAGAGAGAGAGAGAGAGAGAGAGAGGATGATGATGATGATGATGGAGAGTGCATTTCAAGCATAGAGAAACAAAACGGAAATGGAAAAAAACCTAGGGTTCGTACAGTGAGCTTCAGATAGTCCAATTTCTCTTTAATGAAGAGAGAGAGAAAGGAAGGGAGAAAGGCTGGACAAGCATAGTGGCATCTTGGGCATAATCTTGTTATTTCTTCAACCCTATGCTCTCTCCAAGCAAGCTGTGGCTATCCTCTCATTTTGCTCTGGATTTCTTGCTTCATTATTGCTCACACTAGTTGACCCTGCCTAGAAAAGAATGAAAAAGAAAAGGGGTGATAAAACACAATGTTTTTTGTGAAACTTGTTCTGTAGGAAGCAGCTACCCTGTTAAAATCCAGGACCCTTACAACTTCAAAGCATCCAAAAACCTTTTCACATCTCTCATTGTTGTTTTATGTCTTATCTTTCCAACTAGATTGTAAACTCATTGAGGGCAGTACTATTTGTCTTCAGCAGAAACTATCATGGTTCTATGTACAATATAGGCTCTGAAATAAACCTTTTAAATGACTCACTTAATGAAAAATGAAGCTTGTTGTCAGGATTCCTAGGAAAAGGCTGATACACATAGTGTACTTAAAGAACACCTATTTTGTATTGACAGTACCTGGAATTATTTGGGGTCATGCTTTGTTTTTGAAAATCTACAGCATTGGAGCAGCTAGGTGGCACAGTGAATAGAGCACCGTCCCTGAAATCAGGAACACCTGAGTTCAAATTTGGCCTCAGACCAAACACTTGACACTTACTAGCTGTGTGACTCTGGGCAAGTCACTTAACACCAATTGCCTAAAAAAACAAAAACAAAAACAAAACTACAGCATAAAGTGCTAATCTTGGAATCAGGAAGATCTAGGTTCAAATATCACCAATTAATACTCAAAGTATTGGCTATCTACCCTGGGCAAGTCATTTATCCTTTCTAAACTTTAATTTCATCTGTATCTAGACAGTTGATCAGAGTAGATAATCATTGTTTAAGACTTTGATTTCATCTCCCATTGGAGATTTAAAACTCATCAGCCTGCTCCTCCTCACTCCACCCCACCCTGCCCCCTTCTTGAAATTATCTTCTTCCTTTGCTTCCATTATATTATAGTGCCCTAGTTTTCTTTCCCTCCCAAGTGCTCTTCTTATTCCTTCCTAAGCACTCTAGTTGTGGTTTTCCCAAAAGCTAAGTCTTTAGCTCTCAACTTTTTTCTTTCTATTCTTTCTCCCCTGAAGAGCCATTGGTATGACACCTCTGTGCTGATGATTACTGAATCTGTATTTAAAATCCAGACCTTCCATCTGCAGTCCAGTCCTATATTTCTAACTGGCTAGTGGTCATTTCCATTTAGATACCCTATTCACTCAAACACAACTCATCCAAAACAAAATTTCATTTACCCTTCTCTCCTCCCCTCATATTGTCACCATTTTCCCCACAACCCAAACTCTTGAAAGTAAAGTTGCATTTGTCCTTTATTCCCTAAATAACAAGTGTGTGTATACCCATTGGCACTTTCTTAGAGGATTAAGGCCATCTCTACAACCCATCTATGCTTTCTCATCCTTTCTAATTCTTGCCTACTTTTTCCTTAGACTTATAGCATTAGAAATGGAAGGAAGGATTTGTGTCAAGAAATGTTACAAGAGAGAGGTCTACAGAACATGGTAAGTGATTAAAGGCAAAGAAGAAGGAAGAATCAAAGATGCTTTTTCATTTAGGTTTTATGTAAGAAATTTGTTTACCAACACCTTCATTCACCAACTTCATTCCTTTCTATAGATCCTGGAATAATGGTTTTGGATCTGACTATTAAACCCATGTAGCTGATGTCTGGAAAGAATTTTGAGCAGCTTGGAAAACAATAAAGTCTTAATTTAGAATTTAAAAAATGAGAGACACTATGGAAGGTTTGCCTTGCAATTAAGAAGATGGGTTCATATTCTACCTTTAATACATACTAGTTGTGTGACCATGGGCAAACAACTAGTCTAAAGCAACTCTAAAATTACAAGTTACAGCATAATTGCTGATCTGCATCGTTGGGAGCAGTTTCAGCACCTGACATTTCTGAAATCATAGATTGTAACTACCATGCCACCCTCAAAAAACAACTTAGAATATTTCCTTTACCCTATGATAGTTATACCCTGCTAGCTACAGTGATAGATTTGAACTTTCACAGAAAGCACCCAGTTTATGCAAGCCCTCACTTATGGAAATCATGTCCTTTTTAAATGACAAGACTACAGTTTATACTATGATAGATAAATTTATGATATTTTCCAGTGAGTTTTTCATAAAAGTTAGTAATGTACCCTATATTATATTGGGTCCAGAATTGCCCAATCTACAATAAAAAAACTGAGGCAGAGCTCTAAGCCAATTACATTTTATCAAAGGATCCGTTGGCCTCCTCTAATGAAGTGGACCTCGAATCTTCCTCATAATCTGAGATGTCTCCTTTCTCCAGGGCCTTAGTTTTATAGTGCTAGATACACAGACAATACAGATGAAGCAAGCTAAAAATACAGAATCTCATTGGTTGATAGACCTTGCACTTGACCCTCCATGAGGGTGTACACAAATTACAGAATCCCATTGGTTGACAAACAGGCTAATGAGCAGACCTTGACAAGCCTATCTTGACCTTTCAGGAGGTCCTGATGAACACACCCATGGACTAGTAGAAAGGCAGGCCACAAGCAGGCAACCAGGGCTACTTGTTGATCAAATGCTCATGGCCATCCCCCCATGTTGGGCAATAGAGGGATGACAAGGGATGGAGGGACAAGAAAAATAGCTGGGGGACTTGCCACGTAATTGAGTCATCTTCACCACACTGGGCTTGGTCACCATAAGAAGTAAAAACAAAGGTGGAGATCATCTAGTTAGCTTCCTATAATTAAGCAGGTGAACTTACAATTTGCAGTTCACAGCTCTGGGCCTAATATACAGAACTTATAATCATTATCCCTGTGGAATCATATCAAACTGAGTAATACTAATTGGAATAAAATAGTGGTCCAATAAAATAAGGGTCCAATTAATCATCTATCACAATTATAACCATTTTAATGAGGGTTTTATGAATGTTTTTTGAGGATAAGTACTCTAAAGAACTTTGAACTTCTCTGGAAAATAGCATAAACTTATATAAGGCAAAGTAAACAAACAAAACTTCTGAAATTTAGACATTCTGTTTCTTTCCTTTCACAACTCATTCTGTTTTGTATATAG